TATATATATATATATATATATATATATATATATAAACACCCAAAAAAAGATTGAGTTAGCATCAACTTAACCATGAATATTTGATTGGATTTTTTGTAATTTGAATGTTGTACTTGATCCTCATTGGTAGAAACAGAACATTGTTCACAAGTAAATTGCATGTCCTACCACTAGCTCTTTCAATTTAAAATATCTATCAGGTCAGGTAGTTTTTTTGCACCTCTAAAAGTTTGTTGTAGCCCAGAAAGCTGAATCATATAAACACTCATGATAAATTAGCATCTTTTTAGTGGAAAAATTCCACACTATATTTTATGGTACAATAATAATTCTACCTGTTATTACACCCTATTTGTTAAACATTTGCATTCCGTTGTGTAGCTAAATTTGAAAGACTTCCGCAAACAGGGTCACATGTTCATATTGTTATTTGAAATTCCACACACTCACATGCAAGGTATAGATTTCATATTCATGTCTCTACAATTATACTGCTAGATTTCTTTTATTGTTAAAAAACAACAATAAAAAACATAGTATTAAAGTATTACAGTTCCTGACACTAACTGTAGAAGCTTGTAGTTGATTTATTTGATGTACTAAAGTATTACAGTTCCTGACACTAACTGTAGAAGCTTGTAGTTGATTTATTTGATGTTTTGTTTAAAGTTACGTACAGTTATAGAATCTAATGTTTATCAGTGTCACTGTACAAATACATTCAATCAAATACTGGTCAATGGAAATCCTATCATGTTAAATTTTTATAGATTTTCAGACAGTTTGTTTACAAAACTGATTACATATGCAAAAGTTTTCACAAAGAAAACATTCATGAAACTTATGACTTTGCAACCTTAAATAGTAGAAAATTCAGAGCTTCCAACAATACATGTTAAAAAAAGACAGTTAAATCATAAGAATAATAAGATTTAGACAGTATCTGGGATTGAGAAGTGGACAATGGGATAAACTAACTACAATATAATCACCCATACTTAAGGTTACTTACATCTTATACAGAAAATTTTATTTTTGTCTACACTTCTTACTTATCATAACTGATCTAACAAGACATGAAGACTCACCACTTAGATTATTATTACTGGTGTGTATCGAACCACTCCTGGACTTTTCATCCTACGAAAAATAAATTAATACATATGATGTACCAAAATAACATTTTTAACTTACATTACTCAATATTATTTGTGGAGTTAACATCAGAGAGAATTTTTTTAACTAAAAGTATTTTTTAACTGAAAATTTATTTTAAAGGAAGAAAAAACTTGTAGATATATTTAAGAAATTTATAAAAATTTCATAAAAATAAATTGTCTCAGCTTAGTATTATTACATTAGTATATCATCACAAGACTCCAACACATGTTTAAATTTAGAGCTTATTTTGCTATTAGGACAGCTGTATTTATGGCAAAGCTATAAGGCTATTTACTGCTGCTCATAATTTTGAGTTTCTGATCAGAGGAAGACAGCCAGCCAGCAGCAGTCAGCAAGCCAGGGAGGGAGGGCATCAGAACAAATCTCACTACAATCTACAAGTCTCCTCCCAATTCATTATACAAAATATGATCACAACTGAACCATCAAAATCCTATCCCCCATGAATAGCCATATCCCCGATGATCCTACATTTGATAGCGTCACAGGAATGACAGCATTGATCAGATTTTAGTATAAGCCTAAAATAAAATAAAGATAGATTTGAAAAAGAGTAAGTCTGGCATTTTACAGGAAAGAAACAAAACATTGAAGAGGACACTATGTGGCCCACAGACAGAAAGTTACTGAAAAAAAAAGAGGGTTTACAAGTAAATGGAGCAGATTTTATTTTACTTTCCTTTTCACTGACATTAGTTATTTTTTTTTTAAATCCAAACATTTCCAAAGTATTTCATTCCTCCTTCAATGTTTATTAATATTTAACACTGTAGATTCATTCCTGAAAATAAACCAGAGCTCAAATGCTAAAGAAGTGATGATGTGTCAATATATAAATGTGGAGATGTTGACATGTCTGTACACAAAACATACTTCAGACAGAAATATAAAGCATAGTTATCTTTCTGGGTGGTATCTTGAAATCATGAGTTGTTGTGAGAAACTGGGAGAAACAATTTTATTGAAATCTGGTATAGATATTCAGTTGGATCCCACAGATAGTTTAAAATGGATAAGCAACTGGACAAGTGATTTAAGCTTGGCAGTCATTTAAATTGTTACCATGTGAAGCTGACACCAAACAAAAGTAACATTTAATGTCAAGGGTAGTATGGGCACCTTTGCTGATTGCTGGTATTCAGTAGACCTGAATGACATACACGTGTTGCATCATATCCCTAGGAAGCCAATGAAAACGTGATGCGTAAGGCTAAAGCTGGGCAATTAACTTGATTAATTAATTACCTTCGAGAATTGGCTAGTTTCAGGTAAAATAATCAATTAATCAAAATTACAGTTAAATCGATTAATGTCATTAATATAAACAAGTAATTGAAATATTAGCATTATAATTTCTCATTATTATGTTTTCGATTAATCCAAATTAGATTAGCTAGTGACTGAGGGGAGTTGCCTTGTGTTTCGAGATTCTTGGGTTCAATTCCCATTGCTACCAAACATGTTCGCCCTTCCAGCCTGGGGTGGTATTATATTTGTTTTTTGGCTTATGGTAAAACTGTTAAGGCTATCTGTTACTGTCCATAATTTTGAACTGTCAACTAAAGGGAAGGTAACCAGTTGCAATGCTTGCTACCAACTTTTGTTTTCTTTTTTTATCAATGAATAGTAAGATTGGACATGACATTGTAATGCCCCTATGCTTGAAAGGGCAAACAAGTTTGGTGGTACCAGATAGTGAATTTAAAACTCTTGATTCATGAAGCAACCATCATATTCACCAGGGGGGAATTATAATGTGATGGTTATTCCTATTCTGTGGATAAGAGTTGACAGTGTGTTCTACTGGTCAATTGCCTTCCCTCTGGTCAACAATTCAAAACAATGGATGGCAGCAGGCAGCCCTCCTAGCTTTGCCATAACTAAAGAAGCCTTCTGAACTTGCCCACAATTGTTATTGCTATTTCTGTAGTTGTAACTGTGCATGATAGTATGCGTGTGTTCTGCATGTACACATCCCATGAATGTGAGACTGTGACTTAGTAGCTGTTGATCACATAACTAGTCATTTATAGCCTGTAATGGTTGTTTACCTTGTCTGGAATAAACAATAGCGTAGCTTTAACTTAATATATTGCTTACTTATTACAAGTTTGTAATAAAAGTGTGATTTCAAGTAAGTTAATATTCATCATTATTTATTCCATAGAAATAATAGCATTCTAACAATACGTAACACAGTTAAGTTGCTAACATTTTTATATTAGAGGGACTCCTGTTTAATTACAACTAGCTCAAACTAGATAGGATCTTCTCAAAAGAGAGAACAAAAATCTGGATATTCTCAACACTTCCTACTACAGTAAGCTTCAAGTTTTAGATTGATTTATTTCTCAGCAAGCTGATGTGTTTCTACTGTTTTTTTCCAGCCCATGGTGTAAAACCTAAACATGTCAATCATTATTTAGTTGTATTAGAGTAGTTTTGTATGATATATTTTCACATGCAACAATTTAGGATTGAAAAAGTAACAACTTTGTCATAAATTGTTGTATTGGAAGATGTCTATCATATTCAACAAAAGTTAGTTCAAAAATGTCTTAAGAAGAGCTGAAAATATGGTCTTGTAAGAATAATCAAACAGCTGAATGCAACTGATCAATCAGTCCAACAGTTGACTGATTAGCAAGTTCTACTAATCACCCAGTTCTAGTAGTATATATAAACAAAGAATATTTGGAAACACTAAGTAATTTAAAGTTGAGGTGTCTTAGTAGTTGTGTACAACAAAGATTTAAAAGTACTTTTTCATGCCATTATAATTATGTCCACCCAGTGTAATATGCTTCTCACTAAAAGAATGTTTATGTTTTGGCCATTGTCAATAAGTTGTTGCTTTCAAAATAAGTTTCATAATAGTAGTAATTTTGTTGAACAAATATACTGTTCTGTCATGGTTAAAATCCATGCAATTACTTATTACAGTGTTACCATTCTCAACTACCAACTTAAGGTTCATTGTATGAACTCTGGTAGTTTATAGAGGCTTTACTTGATTGGTATAATTAACTTTGTGATCCTTCTGATTCTGTAATGGATTTCCTTTCATATTTAGCAAACAAATTAAAAGTTGAAGACTCGGTTAGTTCTGAAAGCTTAACATGAGCACAGTCAGTTTTGTGTGTTTAACTTAGGATATTTTAATCTATTCTCTACAAGCAATTAGCAAAAAAAAATCCATTTATATCAAGAACCAGCTAGTTCAGAGAGGATTTATGTGTGCTTACTTAAATCTATGATTTGCTAGACACTAGTAAAGAAAATAAATTTAGAGACCAGAACCTAGTCCTGGTATGAATAATAGGCTGTGAAATGTTTAATTACTATTACAGGCTCATGGAAATCAATATTTGTGTAAAGTTTTACAAAATACTAGCAATGTAACTGATATTCTTCAAAATCAATACTCATATTTATAAAACACTACTTACTAGAAGTCATTCATTTTAAATGTTCTTTTTTACCAATTAATAATGAATGGAAGTTAAGATCTTGCATTAGCTAGAAATAACAATAAAAAGGTAATTAAAATAATCCTTACCACATTCACATTGTACACAATCTTGTTGCCCACATGCACATGTTTACTACTTTCTATTGTAGCTTGAATAGGACAAGAATTATCTTGTGATGAGGATATTGGTTCTTCATATAAAAACCGTTCTTCTAACAGAGACGCTGGGTTTTTTGAACCATCTACAACCAAATCCATTTCAATCTCAAACTTAACTCTGGGTTCCACAAAGATGCTATTGGTAGATCTGTCTTCTACCACCTGCTTTTGTGGAATCACAACATAAAAATACTCTTTAAGCATCATTGATAAAACATTTTACAGTAAAAGTTGATGTATATATCTGTTAGAAAGATATTTAATTACACTTACAGAATATTGAAGGTTTTGATAACAAAGCATGCTGTTTCTTTATAGTTTTATAAATCTTAATTTAAAATTTTAACACACAAAATATAAAATAATTTGAAGTAATTTTACCTCATTATTCTTTTTTGTTCCCACAACTTTGAACACAATCATTGCTAATTAAATATTTGAAGCAAACACTAATTGTCCTTTAAAATAAATATCTGGTATTTGAAAATGCTTATTTATTCCATATATCCAAAAAATATCATCATATTTAAGACATAAGTTAATTATATTGCAAACAGCTTAAGCTGGACATTTTAAAATTGTAGAGATTTTGTATAATATGATATCTAACACAAATTTTGGACATAATGAATTAATACTGTAATAAGATAAAGCATGGAAAGTAGCCAAAATGTTAAATGCAACTGCAAAAGGAACAGGAAATATAAAAAAGTAGACAGGAGATGAACAGAGTTCAGGAGAGTGGAAATCCTTGTATACATCAGTTTATAATACAAGGAAATAAACTTGGAAAAATCAAATGAAGATCAAAGTGTAATAATAAAGATGACTGTGAAAAACCAGCAGCAAAATTACAAAAGCATGAAAAAGTTTAGTATTGTGACTATTATATCAACACAGAAAAAAGGGTAGAAATGTAACGATATATATATATAAAAATATTACATTTCTTTTTATGAAAACGTTATCTACATTTATGGATTCCAAATCTCTAACAATCTTAAAAACGAGGATCACAGTCTCCTGAAAGTTTTCCTCCCAAGTAAAAACATATAAAGAAATTTGAACTAACTCGCATACTGTAACTCTACTTAATCTAGAATCATCCGAGTAGCTCTTCTCTGAATTCTCTCCAACAATTTAACACCATGTCTTAAAATAATATAACTAATAACACTGAACACAACATTCAATTGAGTTATAACCAGCATCTTAAAGTAAAGTGATGACCTCTTTTGACTTGTACTAAATGTTTAAATGTTTATGACCTTAAAATCATGTTTGCTGTAATCCTGACTAATGTCTTGTCTTGGAGATTCTGAAATAGGTGCTACCAGATTTTTTTCCCTTTTTCAACATCACTTATAGTTCCCCAGCAATTGTATAATAATAAGGTTGAAATAACAAATATTCAAACCCCACTTTTATTAAGATTAAAAGGCACCAGTCAAACATTCACCTAGCTCACCAAATAATCCAAATCTATGAAAAACTACATTTTTAACAATTTGAAAAAACCAATTAGTTCAATATCTCTTGCAAATAACCAATTGGTTATTTCATTATAAATGTCATTAATGAAAATAATAAATAGCAAAGGGCCAAGAACAGATGCCTTTCAGATACACCACATCTAACAGCCTTCTTCCTTCTACTATCAAACAAACTCTCAAATTATTTAACTAGCTTACATCCTGCTCTAAAAGATGTAACCTTCCTGATAATAGAGCTGGGCATTTAGTGACATTTTCAAACAACAAATTTAAGTAAAGTTTGTAAACTTTATTACCCTAAAAAACTCACATTAGTATTAGCCCTGTTATATTTCTTAACCCTAAGTTCTTTATATAGTCCCTTAGGCCTACTTCTACTAATGTCTCACGATAAGCATAATTAATTATGTTTCATCAACTCAGAAAATACATTTGCACCAAAACAACTGTTGTTGTAACAAATGGCTTATATAATACTACTGTGTTTGTTGTGTCCCAATCATACTGATGAGGTGTGTGTTGAGAGAAAAGCATTATCAGCAATAGATATGGCGGACATAGTGAAATACTATTACTCACTCTTCATCTTCTTGTAAAACCCTAAGGGACTGGATAAAGAACAGTGTTCAAAATATAATGAGCCCAGTACTAATGTTTTTATGACAAGTATAGATATAACCTAATATCATTTTTGCCCCACCACTAGCAACAAGGCCTTGAAAGGCTTAAGAGATAGATCAACCAGAATATCAATATTTTTTTTATTGCATAACACTGAGCCCTAAAATATCCCACTTGTGACATCTAGAGTGACTGAACTTCACTTATCACATCCAGCTACTTTTCTCTCCAATGAGCTGCCTAATCCTCCACACCTATATAGATTTTTTAACTGAATGTGCATGAGGCCAGTCCAATGGTCTAACTCTCAGAGTAGAAAAGGTTTGTTGACTTTTTTTTTTCTATTGTACAGTATACATATTGCATCTAGGTAACTGTCAGAACCTTAGAAATGCATATCTACAGTATACATATATCCCTGTATATTGTATCTGGTATTTAGTCTCTCCTAACATGAGTACTCACTAAACCAGTAATTAGGGCAAAATGAATAGTTAATAAGTCTGACATCAAATACTCAATAACATGTTGGATGACACTCTGTAAAAGGTCATGACATGTATACTTTGACCCCCACCTGTGCACAAGAGTTAACAAGCCTTTCAACTGACACCTTGTCAAATGCTTTCTGAAAATCCAGATATGCCAAATCCATACTCTTACCCTCATCTGCATAAGAAGTAACCTCTTTGAAGAATGTCAAAAGATTAACAAGCCAAGATTTTCTCCTACAGAAACCACATTGACTATCCAACAAAATTTAAAATTTGTTAAGTGACTTTGCAGAGCATCTTTTATCAGACTTTCAAAAACCTTTCCCAAACTAATGTAAGATATCTAGAACTATAATTACCAGGATAATTACCTCACTTAAAAAAAAAAGAGTAACATTAGCCAACTTCTGATCCTCTAGCAACTGCTCACCATTCAAGGACTTACAATAGTAACAAGTATATGTTAAACTATAAAACTAAAAAACCTTTAAATCATTATAGAAGTACCAACATTATTTCAGAAGCATTTCTTTATTCATTTTTTGTTTGTTGGGACATTAGTTAAGACAATACTTTTAGAATGTTCAAGGATACTACCACAGGGGTTGGAATGGCAAGCTATTGGTTTAATAGTAGGTAAAGGACACAAATTGCATACACTTAGTTCTTTGGATAAAGTATAGTATTTCATACGGACAACTATATGGAGCCAATCAATTATATGATGGTAAACAAAATGTAAAAACAATTACAAATGAGCCTTTCAAATTTCTAAATTAACTTTAAATAGTTATAATTATAAAGTCTACGCCTAAATTCATACCTTAGCATTCATAAATAGGAGGCATGTTTTCGAAAACATGACTTATAGTCATACCAAGTGTATCTTTGCTGATTTTGGACATCAACAATATGAGAAACATCTCTCTCATGAGAATTCTAATTTCTAAACAAGTCCATGTTATAAGAGCTGCAGGTATCCTATGTAACAATAAATTTGATGAAAACACAACTCTACATTCTAGGCACATTGTTAGAGTGTATAAAAAAATCCAAGGCATAAAAAATTTTAAATGACAATGCTTAACTGAGGTTCATATTGTTGTATTAGCTTAGAAATAATCAGTAACTGGCTGAGGTTTTGACTGGGTTGTTGTAGACTCCAGCTGTGATTATTTCAGAAAACCTCAAAAAGCTTTTAGTAACTAATAGCATAATCAAATAAAAACACATCTACTGTTTTATTTTGATACTATATGGTATAAAGGATGTATAGCTGTGATTTTATTCATTTCTAAAAAAAATGGGGAGGGGACTGGAACCCTCTCCTACATCTGCACCTGCTTATTCAACATTAAAAAATAGTTTGCAATTAAATATTACAAATGTAACACAATGTAAAAAAAACAATAAATTTAAAATTTATTTAACATTAAGGTAGTCCAAGAGTTAGCAGCGGCTGCTGCCAGCCTGTTGGCATCCCTCTAGTCAGCACTTAGCAGTTCAGAATTAGTTACAGTGGTAGATAACCTTAGTAGGTTTACCGTAATTCAAAAAAAAAACAAAAAAAACTAACATTAAACCCCTGTGGCTGAAAGGGAAAGCACATTTGCTTCATTGTGTTTGGTGGCAACGTGCATTAAATCCAGGGCTCTCAAATCATGAGGCAACCATTTAATAACCCTGCCATGCTGGCCCACAGCTAAACAAACTTATAGCCCATTATGTAGTTTTGTTTTGTGCTTAACAACACACAAACAAAATGGAAATGTTTTGATTACTTGGATATATGGAATAATTGAAAATATTAATAAGTAGAAACCCTAATTTCAATTAGTTGATTATTTTCATGAGATGTGACACCAGTTGATTAGGCTGAACAAACCTGAAGTAACTGAAAATAATAATGTTAAAATAATAATGGAATATAATAATTAACAGATGGTTGGAATCATCAGAAATAATAATCAAAACAACTGATTTTTAGTACTTGATGATTTTAATAGTAATTCTGATTAACTGATTATTTTATGTATTCAATGTAATTGCTGCTCATAGGTTATTGATTATATTGATTTAATCACCGAGGTCTACCCTGAGAAACCTCTTATGTAGCTTTTTTTGTATAGAAAAATGGGTTATTGATGTATGATCCTTATAATAACATTTAGAATATTTGAAAGTTCAAACATGCCAAATCTACTGCATTACCCACATCTAGATTAAATATATATGTATAACATTTTAAAAGAAGGTTAGCAAATTTACAAGACAAACTTCCATTTTTATATCCATGTTGACTACTTGTAATAATATAAAACTTGTCTCAAGATTCATCATATTTAATTACAAAATCTAGATAGTCTCTCAACCACTGATCTATGACCACTAACTATATGGAAACTGCTTATCTTTTCCCCCCCTTTAAAAAATGGTGTGAAATTGTCACTTCCAGCACTTTACCACTCTTAATGGATTCAATAAAAAACTACAGATAATGATATTTCCATCTGCTGTTTTATTTCTTTCACTATTCTTGTCAAAGTGACTTCCTTTAATTTTCCATTTTTTAATCTTATTAACTATAGTCTAATCCTAACTTAATTTTACAATGTTAGATCCACTTGTGGAATATACCCTATATCTTCCC